CGAAGCAAGCTGATGAGGTCTTTGAAGCTGACGGCCGGAGGCTCAGCCTTGAGGACCACACGAAAGTCCCCGAGTTGCTTTACCTCGGTAGCTGGTGCTGTCGAGGATTCAGCTGCACTTTTCACACGAGCCAAGTCATCGAGCTCTTTGTGTTGTCTGCGAAGTTCGCGAAAGTGCCGCGCAAACAAAGTGGCTGCAGGGAGAAGGTCAGGAGGAAACCTGACATTGTACTTGGCGAAGAAAGCATCTTCTTGGCGTTGCCGAACTTCTGGCGGAAGAGGGGCCTCGAGGTTCTCTTCTTGTGGGCCAGAGGAGGTGGCGCTCAAGTCTTGCTTGGCTCGGGCCCATGCCACGCGCAAGCGGGCAAGCTGGATTCGATTGTCCTTGAAGGTCTCAGTTTTCTGGAGAACTTCTTTGAGCCCGTCTTCATAGTCAGCCTCGGTGTACAGACCCACAAAGTCTGCTACGCTCTCACACCCCATGTGCTTGAGAGAGTGAAAGACTTCTGCGGCGACCTTGTGTTCATTGACGAGCAGGAGCTCGAAGCGCTCCACGCCAGAAGCCATGTCAGAGACGGAAAGCCACGATTTGAACGGAAACTGCGGGTGACAGGAGGCACAATATGCGTCACCGCCCGAAACCCGGAAAACAAATTTAAAAAAAAACATGTGCAAAACTTCAAAGCACTTGAAAACGTGAGCGCAGCGACCCGGTGTGTGCCTGTTTCTGCGCAAGCGGCTAGCCGGATCACGAGCGGGGCGTTGCCCGGGACAGGATGGCCAGCCGAGTTTCGGGGGGCCACTTTGAGGAGACACGGCGCACAGAACTTTCCATGAAGGTCCAGCGCGGCCGTGAGCCCAGTGGCCCACACAATACCCTGTTGACGGAAAACACGACTGGAGCACAGCGGTGTGAGACTTTGAGGTTCTGCAGCAGCATGCCAGAGGCCTTTGGCCGGGCACACAAAGCAGACGGACTCCGGATCGGTAGGAGCATCACCGGCCGGGGCCAGCAGATACTCCGTAGAGGCATCACTGGAAGGGGAATCAGAGCCTCCAGAGGAAGATGCTCGCTCCGTGGACACCGGGCTGCTTTCAACAAGATCCGGCTCCGGGATGGCACGCACGCCAGGACCCCAAGAGGAGGTGGCGATGTTCGACCGCAAGCGAGCGACATGGGGGGGCCACCGCACGGAGGCCAGACCATGAGTCGCAAAGCGGCGCGTGTTTAAGCAGATGGTGGACCGAGGCTAAGCACAGCCGCCGAACCTGCGCAGCAGACTCCAGTCGCTCCGAGCTGTACCGAACAGGAAGAGGCAGCTTGCGGCCATCGGACCAATTGCCCAAGCAGAGGCGATCAGAGTCGCAAAGCTGGAGGGCATCCGCAACGGTTGGAAGGAATCGACGAAAACTACGTGTGGAAAAAGTTGAAGCCGCGTGCTCAGTCAGCGACAGGGGTGGCAAATGCAACAGGGAGCGGGCGAAGGCCTGGAAGCGGGGATAATCCGCAGGCGCAGACCGGAGCACCACACTCCCCTGAGCATCAAACCACATGTCTGGTAAGAATGGTGTTCCGACGCCTAAGATAGCACGCACTCGTGCCTGCACATGGCTCAGTAGAGGATGTCCCGGTTCAACGTACATCGGCAGAGCGACAGCAAAAGGCATACCATCCTTTCCGTGAGAGACCTTCCAGACACCCGTGCGTATCGAAGAGAGCTCGGGCTCAAAACTCGCACGAGCGCAGTGTTTGAACCTCAGGCCAGAAACTGCGAAGCGAATGACCAAGCCAGCGGCCAGGGCAAGGGACGACGTAGAAGAGGATGTGGCCAACTGCAGCAAATGCCTCCAAACTTGAGCAGACAAAGTTTTCACTTGCGTAGGCCAGGTAGTGGTGGCACCGGAAGCGGCAGTAAAGTCTTTCAACATTGGCGAGTCCAGCGGGAAGGAGACTTTCAAGTTGTCAGTGAGCCATCGTAGGTGGTTGTACACTGAAGCTGGTATACCAGCTTCCAGCATCGCTTCCAGCATCCCTTCCAAACCCATCCAGTCGCTCGTCCATGCGGTCAAGCTCCGCTCCATCGAGCGGGCGTCCACGGTCCGAGTGGCTCGTAGTCGCCGGCCTCGATGTCCTTGGCCACGCGCGAGTTCGCGCCGTCGGCGCCGATGACCACATCGACCTCCAGGGTCTTCGTCTCACCTGGAGGTGACGAGCCGCAACGAGATGGGAACGAGACTGGGTGAGGTGGGGAAAACACGAAAAGCTCCATGTATGGAATAAAGAAGCGATACCAACATTGACCCAACAATCCCAATGCAGGTAAATATCCCTACTTGGTGTGTCTGAGATATGAAATCCCCAGCCACACTACTTGGATCTACTTTGTAGTGCCTCACAAGGCCCAACCAACCACCACAGTATGGTGCAAGAATCGTGTATTCTTGATTGTTTGCATACATATAGAGTAGTTGCTTGGTTGAAGAGCTTGACAGGTGGACCTACACTCCATTTCTCATTGGTGGACAAGTACTCCAAAACTATAGACTCGCGGGTTCCCAGAACCAACGACAAACGAGAAACACGACACCATTGACAGTATAGCTTCCACATTTGCCCAATGGCGGCTTGTATGGGATACCATCTGGTCTATGAGCCATGCATTGCCGGCCATGGGTTTGCACCATCTATTGTGAAACTACAGTAGCAGCTCAGGTAAGAAGGGATATACAAAAATGGCTGCATGCAGGGTATCTCACACAAACCTCAAGAACACATCTAGTTTGCGGGGTGCAGTCTGAGTCCGATAACATATTCTTTGGGGTTTGTGCCGTTGTTGTGTCTTGCACTTGACTTCTGTAAACTGAAGAGTTAACCCAAATGTGCATGCAGGACGAAGAGGAGATGCACCCAACCTCCTAATTGGTTGCTGCTCATCTGAAGCGGACGGTGTGGGTTTGATGAAACAACCAGTCTCTGACTAGAACACGTTAATGAGTATCAATGTTAAACCGTTAATAAAGTATCACAACACATTAAAGTTAAGTGTATCAGAAACCGTTAAGAGTTCAATACGTCTCTGACTATTAAAGGCTCAAGGTCCAACCATTAAAAGCAACATCACTTCCTCTTCTGACACTCATATCACCATCGAGTACGCACTGGGCCGGTGTTAACAGTCAAAGGAAACCATGGTTCAACAACTGGATGGTAGTTACAGGAACTGAGCTCAGCTGGGGCAACCCTGCAACCACTTGAAAGATGGTTCAAGTATCCATAAATCTCAATGACCACCAGCGTTGATGAGTTCCCGGCGTCCCGTCCCAGCCCTTCCCGAGTTCACCACGTCGTCCAGGTGGCCCTTGCGAGCATTGCCCTCCTGGCCCTCGTAGTCGTTGTAGGTCAAAAGCTGGGTCGTTGCGGGTCTTTCAAATTAGATTGAACGATTCTCTATACTTTGATATGTTTATATATGTTTATGTTAAAAGATCTATACATATATATATATATACAGTGGAGGCACTCAGTCATTGATGGTTCTGGATCGAAAGACTGAGAACTAAGGATTACAATGGTGCATCAATGAAATCCGAATCCGCTTAGATAATGCACGTCAGTCCGCAACTGACAATGGCGACGGTTGGTCTATGTGTGTCAATTTGGATTCAGTTCATGAATGTTCTGGCCACATGCTTCAGGGTCAAGCTAGTGAAGTTCATCTGGACGTCACCTGGTCGACCTAGAAACCTTCTCGGACCCTTTTCACCTACACAGCGCTTATCCAAACGCTCCGTGTATGACATCTTGACCTGCATTGGGATGGTTTACCTCCAGGGGTCTTTCTGGGGGCATCATCTACCAGTGCCATGTGTGGTGTTCTGGGCGATAAAAGGATATGAAAGCCTACAGGTCATATAGATGATCATGGGCTCCTGTTGGTCTGGACCTTCGCCTGCGGATGGACCCTGCGGATGGCTAGCCTTAGCCCTGTGGATGGCTAGCCGGCTAGCTGTCTGGCCAAGTGACGTAAGAGTCGCCCTTGTTCTGTGGCAGGCTCATGCCTCATTCTGGCAGGCAATGGATTCTTGTTTGACCCTGCCACTCGATCGGTGGGACTGCCAAGAAACGGCCAGGGGTGGTTGAAAAAGGGGTCAATGGGGCGGCATCTATTCCAGTCCCATGGAGTGTCTGGGAACGTAAGCTCCATAGTAACCATTCCTGTTGGATGACAATCAGGCGCCAACGAGGTGGGCCATCTGCCTTCAATCCATGTGACAACTTCGGACATGGAACAACTGCACAGGTCCTGCACCAAACTTCCCTGGAAGCCTCCTGAACAACTGGGGTCTTCCTATGTACAAAAAAAAATAGTGAGTAAGCTTAAGCTTGGTCCAAGTACAACTTGATGGTAATATTCAACAGCCCAAGTACACGCTGTACTAAAGACGTCATAATCATAGGCAAACATGACAAACTTGACCCGGCATGATTTTCTGGGTCGTCATGGCACTGAAAAGTTGCGATCATGTATATAGACTCATTTCTTCAAAGCATGCTTGTTTCATGTTGGTTCTGTCGTGCAAGCACTTTGTTTTCGACAAATTATGTACCAATGGCCTAGGATTCAAAGAGTGCCAACTAAACTATGGTCCCATGCAATAACACTGCACTACCAGTACCTGCCATGCCTGAAGAGCAGTTCCTACGTCAATTATCTTGGAATGACCGAATGACAAGGCATTCAAACGGCATAATACACGGGACTGGCCAATGACGACTCGTTCAAAACCAACTTCTCTCATCCCTAGCCAATCCATCCCAATCTCCCCACCCAGCTGACGGCAACAAAAACAAACAAGACACCGATGAAGAGGCCGTTGATGAGCGTGGCGCCGTTCTTCTTGGCGCGCTGGCGTAGGAAGTCATCCAAGACTTCGCGTCGGACCATGCCGATGAACCTGGGCGACGGGCGACGCCCCCCTTTTTGGGGTGGTCCGGACATGTCTTTAGCTATCTAGCTGGCACACGTGCTCTTCATCAATCTCTTATCTCTTAATCCCCAGCAAAAAGCGACCACGAGCACATCAGCCTTGTCATTTCCAGCAGAAACTATGTTCCAACGTCAGGTCTTTGAGGGGTACCATCCCTGCAAACCATGTTCTGCTTTGCGTTGCCTTTTGGTTGGCGCATCTCTCTCTCCGGTGTGGTCGGTTTTCGAGGGGATCGGTGGAGGAGGGGGGGGCGGAGGGCGATCGCTTCAAGAAGATCATCAAAGAATTGGAAGAAGTAGAAGAAGAAGAAGAAGAAGCTTGCAAGGATCAAAGCGGAATAAACTCTTCAATGATTCAGCCATTCTCCATTGTTATTGTTGTTGCTTCAAGAAGCTCATCGTCCTTCAGGGTCTGGCCGATTTGGACCTCCTTGTTGGTCGGGGAGATCATCGTCATCTTCCTCGGATCGCATCACGGGATCGCTGTCTGGCCATGTGACGCTGAATGCCAATGCCACGAAGTAAAACAAGTGGCATGTATATATGTATTATAAATTATTGTAATATATCTGTTGAATAGCCTGTAACAAATAGCCTGTATTTCTTCCAAAGCAAGCTTGCATCAATTTTTTCTGCTGTCACCACCATCATCACCACCGGCACCACCATCGCTGAAATGGACGGCCCTTGTTTTGGGTGAATAATCCGAACATCATCTCAGCTCGTACCCAATGGGTTTCCACTTACCCACCCCAAGGACCCACTTCACCCCTCTGAGAGGGTGATGGGTCATGTGTTCGACACATTCAAATAGGCAAAGTGAGGGTGTTGAGTCATACCATTGTTTCGTTTCAGTGGCTGTGAATCCCAGTGACCAGTGGATACAAGAATGAAGCTTCGGGAACCACTTGTCACTTCCGCATGCTAGCGCATAAATTCCAGCCCAGACCAAGTACCGTGCCGGACAGGTTCCTGGCAAGGTCTGTGCAGTTACACCGTTGTGCCCGGATCCCTCAGTGGAATTTTAGCCAGTGTCTGTAGCTCTGATTCCCTGTGACATCGACTGCACCTCCCGTTGAGGATGGCCCTGACTCCCACCCACCGACGCCCACATAAAGGAACCACTGTACTTATACCACTGCATCGTTATTGTATGAGCCTCTGCAGTTTTTGGTTGGGGTCTACTGCTCCAACTTCCTTGAGCGGGTGGCTGGTAGTCCCGGTTGGGCGCCAAGCTGCCGCACCTGACGGTCCACGATGTCCTTGGGCAAATCAAACTCATCAATCCTGGGCCCGTGGAGGTGCGCGATGATGGCGCTGATCTGCTTGGGAAGCGAGCTCGTGGTGCGTGCTTGCTCGGAGATACTCTCCGAGCTCGACTTTGGGAAGGCACCGCAACGGTCTGTAATGGTCTGAATGTCTCTCAGAAAAATATACATTTTCCATACGCAGTGTTTCGAACGGGCCCCATTTAAACTGTTCTTTGCCTGAGAGAATGGTTTGAAAAAAAGGGGGGCCAATTCCTACAAGGGGTGACAGGCCAAGGCCCGGTTGTTCCGCCCGGCACACGCAAAACACGCTGCGAGGTTGGCCGCGGGATCGCGCGGAGGCCGCGGGATCGGCGAGCCAAGGTTCATGCACAAGGGGATCGCGCCGCCACAGGGCTTGCAGTTGTCCATCTTGCGCTCGATCAAGAAGGTCTCCACGCCATCCTGCGGGACTCAGGACGTGAAAGCCCCGGACTCGGACTAAGCGAAGCTGCATGTGGACGAAGTGAGGATCAACTTGATCTCTCCAACTGTAGGGTGATGTGAAGATTTGGGTAGGCAGCCCAATATCTTCCCAGGATACCTAGACGTACCAAATCACAAACCATGATAGCGGAAAATTGAGACTCCACATCTTCCACAAACAGTTATAGTCTCAAACAAAACATATATATATATATAGGTATCCCGTGGTTTCGGGGTGTTCATTGGTTGTTCCGAACCCTGCGAAAACGTATGTTAGTGCAGCATCACTCTCTTGGCCCTAAAAGAGGGGCCACACACCTTCCTGAAAGGCTGGGGCCACACACCTAGCACTTCCAACGGGTGCCCTGTCTGGAGACTTGCAAGTAGGCTAGGGTAGTCTATTGGACACCCAAACAGGATGATCCTGGTATAGATATATGAATTATATATATGAGTTATATAAACGGCATGTTGGCTTTGACCTACCTGGAAGGTCCAGCAGCTAGGTGTTGGCTTGGTTGGCTTGGGGCTGCAGGTTTGATCCATCCCCCATCTATAGGGATGTGTTGGTGGCTTTGAGAAGGCTAATTACGCAGATTCGATTCGAGCTACTATTTTCTGGCAGGGTGCCCTGCATTTCACCTACCCGTGAATCATGTCGTCCCATGAACACCTGCTTTCAAAACGCCTCAGTCGACGCTTTCCAGCTGTTCAAGAGGAACGCTTTGCGCCCCGCCCCGAAGCTACCCGTTTATCCTGTGTCTGGGCTTTCAATGGGCTTCATACTGAAACACCGAAAGAAGAAGAAACGTCCCAACATCACCACAAGCTGGGATATTTCGCTTCAAGGTCTTCCACTGGTCTTCACGCCCCGCAAGAAACCAATGCGCCTTCGCCAGCTGGTCGGCGCAGCTGGCGCCGGCCGGGCCGCCGCCCACCACGGCCACACGGAGCTTCCGGCCTTCGGGGAAGGAGGCACCGGCGCAAAGCACCAGCTTGGCACCACGCCTTGGGCACCGGTGGAGTAGCAGTGGATTTTGTAAAAGGAGTCTTCAAAGGATCAGCGCAGGTGGCTTCACAATGAACCAAGATGTTGGATCTATTTCTACATGTACCACGACCCACTGTCAGGATGTTTAATGGACACCCCGGTGTCCGTTAAACTTCTCCTTCCCACCCAGCCAGTGGCCAGGGAGTCTCCCTAATACACATCCTCATGATCCATCCAAGCTGCAGGGTACGTCCCTTGGTCACACGCCCCTGCGCCAGGCTGGCTCGCTGAGCTTGGCGCCGCCCGCGGCGCTGCGTGGCAGCGCCCACGGCGCCGAGCGCCGCTGCGGAGGCAGCCACAGCGGTGAGGGGCACAGAGCTGGAGGGGGCAGAGGCCTTGGCATTTGGAAGTTGGAAAGTGGAACAGAGTACTGGGACTGGAGAGAAAGGTAGAAAAACCACATAATGGGACTGGTGATTTTGGTCAATTTGGAACCCGTGAAACCACAAGCGATTCTTGGAGTCTAGATTCTTTGTGTAAAGAGATTCTTGGAGCCCTAGAAGTGAGAAATTTTGATAGGGTGTTGCTTCCAAGACTCTGGAACAGGCTGGGCCACGTGTCCAATGCCCGCAACCACTGGCGTGGTCGCGGTCGCACGGAGGGTGGCCACTGGCATCGCCATCACGCCGGACATGGCACCGTAAAGGGATGGGTTTCAAACAAAAATCCTTCAATGGTGCAATGCTATTCAGCCAAAATGGCTGCCAGGGCGCAGTGAACACTAGCAGCTCCAAGTGGCAATACGTACTGCATGCGATATATATCCCCACAAACTTAGAGCTTCTTTTTGGGGGTGGATCTGTGACACAAAAATGATCTGGATAGTTCACCCAAGACCACTAAAGGCCAAACACTTGAACAACCTGGAATACTTTCAGCAAGGGAAAACATGCAGCAAAGCACCACAAATCCATGCGCTTCCATACTATGGATCATACCTTTGAACTGGTACAGTCCAATTTGATCACATGATCCTGGGTAACCCTAAAATATGATTCTGTTCTAGTCTTTTCTTTGTGCCAGCTCCAGCACCAACTGGCCTGGCTCCACGTCTTGTTTGACTCCGCAGACCGTGTTCCCCGGATCCCCCAGTCCACTTGACCCGAAAAACATCCATACGGGAAATCCACCGGACCGGATGCTGATCACCATGTGTCTCTTGAGGTTCACTTGACCCACCCCAAAAGACCCCTGAGGTCCAAACCCTTATGGCCATGCTAGCAGGTGTCCCTCGATTCAGGGTGTGAAGCCGGGAACGATTTCCGGCGCGATTCCCATGTCACTGAACCCGGCTCTCGCCTTCGACATGTCCAGAGTCATTTTGTACAAGGTGTCGAAGAGCTGTCAGCGCAAATGGTCACGAGTGTTTACTACATACAGCTGACAGTATATAGACCCCAAAATGGATAGACAAGTAAAGTCCCTTTCAACATGTATTGAAAACCATGCCACTATCTATTTGGGGACTATATAGATTATATAGAGCTCTTTTGGGTCAACAAGCTGCGTTCCCCAAGTGGTTCCATCACTGGCGATCCGAAAACGGAGCATCGTTGTCGCACTGGCTTCAGTGAGAGTCTTTTCAGATCATTTCAAATGATCTGGCCGAGTGCACTCCAACTCACCTGGGTTGCTGGATACGATCATGGCTACGTAGCTAGTAGCCATGTGTACCGAGGGCCTAGGGAATGGATCAAACACTTTGAACCCGCCTGGTGAATTCTTGGTGCATTTAGCTCCATATCATATTCCAACAGGCATGCAATTCATCCATTGCATAGACCCCTGAAAGCGGTGGCTAAAGCGTGGACAAATCTCGTCCAATCACTTATCCAACACATCACAAATCAACCATTCTGACCTAAATCCCGCCCCACAAAAAAAAGAACCCCAGGATCCCCCTATATAAAAGAGGTGATTTGGGGCCATCCATATATGCATGTATATATTATATATATATATGCCACCCCTTTGACCCCTGTTTGTTTTAACCACCTCCTGGCCGTTTCTCGGCAGTGCCACTGGTCGTGTCTGGGACCCACAGGTCCGGCTTCGCATCGGCCTCGCTGTGCAAACAGCGCAGCTGAGCGAAGCTCGTCACCACCGCGGCGATGTCCTCGGTTCGTGCGGTCGATGGAGTGGCCATCCTGCACTAGGTTGAAGAAATGTATTGGATGCAGGATGAACAAGGAAAACATTACTTTGGGAACATCTATATAAACAGGACAAAAACATGGAAACACTGGGGCTGTCACCCCCACCACTATGGGTTTCCTGATGTTTCCTGTATATATATATATATATATGCTCCATGATTGTTCTTCAAGTCATTTTAAAGCCATTTCTGTGAATTCAAGGACCACCAGTTGGAGGTGCGCAAGACTTCAATTGATCCCACCAGCGGCTCAGCCACTTGGAAACCGGATTATCCAGTCCAGTTGGTGTAAAGGGGACCAGTGTGGACCGTTGGACCAAGGACCCAAACAATTGGGATTGTAGGCACCTCTTGAAGTCAAGGACAATCCTATATATATATATATAGGTAAGTGCGCAGCATTTCTGCTATCGCATCTTCTTTTTTTGAAATTCTTCTGCGGTGTCTATCACATTGGATGAACATCACTGAAACTTGTCGCGGTTCACCTCCAATCCCATCAACCTCCAAGCTTAAATCTTGACCCAGGACCAAATGAAGATCTGGGATGATGGTTGGCAAACAAACACTTGGGCCCCCAAATCATTCAAGTCATCGACAGAGGTCATTTCCTCATATCTCTTCATTGCTGTGAGCTCCCAGCTTGAAGGATTCTGTTTGTAGCATGCATGCTGCAAGGCAATCCATTGAGCTAGTACTCCCAAGTTTCAGTTTGCGCGTGTCCTTGACATCTCGAAAGTGTTGCTTCTCCGCGAGAAGCAGCTCTGCAAAGTTCCTCAAGCTTCGCTGTTTCCGGCGTCGCCCGCCGAAACGACGCGCGATCGGTGTTTTTTGTCTTTCGCACCTCGCTGTGGTTGTGGGGGGGGTGAATCGCAAGGTTAGAAGTAATTCAGGGCCTTTCAATTGTCTGAAGGGCTGGAAATCCTCAGAAGGGCTATACTGTAGTAACTGTTGTGGTGCATACATGCTGAAACAATATGAAACAATCTGAAACATGTTGCAGGTTCTGACCAAAGCTTTTCATCTATGCCTGCCCATGTTCAATAAGGTTTGGTTTGGTTTCGGGATGCCATCGATTTGGACTCAAACCTCCTCTGAATCCATCCGGCTCGAAGCTCCACACCAGTGGTTTTGGACTGCTCGCAGCTTCCACGCTGCTTCCGCTCCCCCCCCCCCCCCCCCTCTGACTCCCGTGGCCCCTTGCTCCCCACACGGACCGACTGCCGGTCGCACGACTTGTCCCACCAAGTGGCTGGAAGGCCGTCGCCTCAAAAAGGCCCAAACGCAGGAAGCCTCACGCACCCCCGCGCAGGCGCGCGAACCCGGGGAGGAGAACCCGGGGAGGTCACGGACTGGAAAAAGCCGCTCCGTGGTGTGTTTGTGGATTGAGAGTGGATGGTGATCTAGAGGAAGGAAAGCTGCTAGGCAAGAGGACAGCAGGAGAAAACAAAAACATGTGTGGAGTATGCACCACATGGACCGCTGGGAGAATCGGTGTGGTTCCCTGTCAAAGGACTATATAGTCAGTTTGGGTCTGGATTTATACTATAATTACTGAACCAGCACCACCCAAAGGATGGTTATGGGATGGAAAGCACATGGTCGCGCGGGTTTTATTCGACCACTCAACCACCCTTTGGGTGATGCATTTCCTCAGATGTCCTCCATCATCCACCATATATTTCTTACGTCTTCTTTCCCCGACCTTTGAGGACGCACCACTGCTTTTGGACTTCCCGGAGCCCCCCGCGGAGCCACATGTCTTCCAGACACCGCACCACCGAGCCCGGTCGTTCCGTTGGAAAACACGGCGCTGCCCGTGCACCGAGCCTCGCAGCAACTCGCAATGGCCATAGAGTGGGACCTGGCCGACGTGGGACAGAGCGAACGTAACAAAGGCATCGCGACTCGAATGGAGCGAGCTCGGACGCAAGGCTACGAACGTGGCGATCACGTGGCCTTACTAATCTTACGACTCCCTAGGGATCCAAGTACCTCCTCAAATGGTACTTGGACCCTCCAAACCCACCCCAAACACCTTCTCAGAGGGTACTTGGATCCTTAGGGACTACAGTATATAACAAGGACGCTACTAGTAACAGGCAGGGTGATGGCACCCGGTCGTCGTTCTGATTTCAGACTGCGGAGCCGAGCTGAGCTTTGTCGTTCCAGTGGCAAGCTCACCAGTCCAGTCTGAGGTGGAGCTGGAGTGGTCAGCCAAAATGTCAGCCATACTACTGCGGACAACATGAAATGCCAAAAGAACATGACTTGCAAGTCATCTGTTGATGGACTTCTGGCTTCTTGCTCTGAACTTCAAGACAGTATGCTCGCCAGAAAGGAAGCTCCAAGCACTAGATCCCAGAGATCCAAATAACTCCAAGCACTGTGGCGACGGCTGCGTCAAGGGCCGCGTCAAGGACGGAGCAAGGGTGGCACAGGACAAGCTCAGTCCCTATCGGTAGGTAGGGGGTATTGAATCCATGGGCCTTTCCGTTGATTCCGAGGAATCCTCACCCGCTGCATCCGGACCGGGAGTCAGTGCTGTTTTTGACCGGCCCGGCCCCACCGTTTTGCTCGATCTGTTGCAGGTTTGCGGCCACATTGTGTCTTGCTTGTTTGAAGCTGTTGTTTAAGCGGCCTATCTTGGAGTATGACCTGGTGTCTGTTGTGTCCAGCACCAAGTCCCGGATAATTCCATCCTCCGGACTGCTCACATTCCACTTTCGATGGGGCTGATCGAACACGTCGTGTCCGGGTCCCATGCATGCTATAGCACGCGTCAGTGCTTTGAAGATCTCCAATGCCTGACTTGACCATATATTTGCCTGAAATCAGAATAGAAAAACAGAAACTGAGCTGAATCAAACCAAGTTTGCACGGGGAACGTTAAACATCGTTAAACCCTTGGAAGAACATGTTCCTCTACAACAAACACCAGGGAAGTGCTGTTGAATTGTTCACTCACTGCCCTATAATTGTTGAATGGAGAGGACACTTTTTGGATCACTCCTGAGATTAGACTTCACAATATAGTTTTCTGCCAGCAAAGGGTTTCTGTGGCCTTCCGAGGAGCCGATAGCTTCTCATCGCTGCCTTCGACCACCAAACGCCGCGCCAAATTGTTCAAAAGAAAGCCTGGCAGAACTGTTCCGTGGTCTGCGGAGCTGACGTTGCTACAGAGCGCTTTCATGGCCCTCACGGCCAAGCGCACCTGCTCATTCTCACGAATGAAGCTGGATGAAACTGAACGTGCCTCGGCACGGGTGTCGCAGCCAGTGAAGAGAACTAGCTCATGATCATCAAATCCGACATCTTTGCTAATGTTGACGAGAACAATATCCAATGGAAGCACATCACCATCATCGAGAACGAGATCAATCTTGATGGCCTTTCGCCCAATCAGCTTCTTTTGAGGCCGGAGTTCAGACACTCCACACAGCTTTAGTTCCTTCTCACTTATATTATTGCACAGTTGTTGTGCCAGCTCACTTCTGTCGGCGGTGCTTACTTCTTCATCTGTGTAAATCCAAACATCCATGTCAGAGCCTTGAACAGCAGTGCCTTCCAAGTAGGATCCTGCCAGTTTCATCTTGGCGCCGGGCAAATTCACCAGCCGGGGATCTATAAGCTTTCTTATCTTCTGCCAAAGTGGAGAGCTTGAATGCTCCCATTTCCGAGCCAAACCTATGAACCTCAAAGGGTCTTTCAGTTCTGGAGCCGTAAACGGCCAATGCCCCTCCTCAGATGTGGAGGTGCTTGGAAAAGTAAAATAACTTCCTATTGATCTCCAACAGAATTTCCTATTGATCTCCAACAGAATCCAAACTATATAGGGTATTGTTGCAGCATCACGCACTACAGTGCACAAGCGGATGTTTTCCGCGATTCCACATCAAGTTCGCACAATAACATGTTTCAAAGGATCGAACAATCGCCCCGATTTCGGATCGAATCCGCCCCAAAAAAGCATCGCGCAAGAGGCTAACAATCTCGCAATCCCAAGACTCTCTCACTTCTTGCCAAAAGGATCCCACCATCACCGGACGTTCAGCCAGCAAGCCGACGCACATCCATGCGAGGCATCTCCGCCGCGCAGCCCGAGGCATCTCCGCCGCGCAGTGCGCTGTGGGACGCCGTGCGATGCTGCTCACTGTGTGCAACTGGAGAAGTAACAAGAGACAAAAAGCAGCATGATATAAAGACTATACATCCCAATACATGTACCACTTTTGACTGGATCATGAGGGAAGCTGCATTCACTTGCATATATATATATAACCTCTATATATATAGTATATATATATATATAGAGCAATCAGTCTCACTGTTTCATGATTTCTAGTCAGTCTAAGCCTGACGGCCACCCTTTCCAAGGCGCCCCCTGAGCCACACCACGAATCTGCTCACTGGATGACGCCAAAACATCTCAGCACTGATCGATCTGTTCTCCAATCAATAACAAACCATCCGATATGATCCAATGGTACCAGAGATTTCACCTGGATGTGCCACATCGAGGTGAAAAGTGCCACATCCAAATAAAGCACGTCATGTAGGTATATAATAGCTTCTTTATGGTTCAATGAAAACAACACTTAAACAGCAGGAACCAAATAAGAAAAAAAGACAACATACTTACGGGAAACCACAAGATCACAGCAAAAATGATGATCCATCAAATGACTTCCACAAAGCAAGTTATCAATCTACCCACACCCAAGAGGCTCAGCTCCCAGATTCTGTACCTGCTCCAGGAAGATCTTATCAGAGGCCAGCTGAAGAGCCTTGCTCGCCCGCTGATGTGGCCCAACAAAATAATTATCTAGAAACATCTAAAATACGACTGGTGCATGGTCTTTTAGATGGTTATAATATGTTATAATGCCTCTTTGATTCATGTCATCTGCCGGAGAAGCGCCTGAAAATGCCGGTGCCGCATTCTTTGACCACGCGCGCTTTAGGCCAACGCGTGCGACTCGGGGCGGCACCAACAGCGGCCAGGCCGCTGGCCGGTACCTGGACGGCCGCTGGCGACCGGTCGAAGCCGAGGTGCCAACCGGGTTCCTGCCGGCGGTTTGGACCATTGGGGAAAGCGTCCGGAGCCGGGACCAGTCCGACCAACCGGCGGCTGGACCATTCGTGGGACCAGTCCGGTGGTCCTTTGTAATGCCACAGATGGCGCCACTGGCCAACCTCCAACAGGCTGAAGTTAACGATGGTATACATATACTGGTCCTTGGTCGGTTTCTTCTCGTGGATTTTACATGGCAACGGCTTGTCGAACAGAAGGCGGATCTGCCTGTGCCACCAGGACGGTGGATGCCCCACACCAACGGCGAATCCTTGCTATTCCTACAAACCACTCGTCAACTCAACGCGAATGCTCTGAGGTCGTGTCAAACTCCTCAATGTTTGACCATCGTTTGCCTTCCATCTTTAACCCATCAACAGGCCACATGCACATCTTTAACCCATCTGAGGGGTTTGGAAGCGCACTCCAGCGATGCGAGGCTGCAGGTCGCAGTGACCCAAAGCATGACCTGGATCCGTGGGTTCCGCCGGCGGCGGGCGGATTCTGCCTTCCGGAGAAATCCCCGGGCGGAGAACACCCAGAAATCCGATTGGTCTTGGGGAGAATTTGGGGAGATGTGTTCAAAAATCATGAAGCATGGGGTGATTTCTATGCCAATTTATATAGCACCAATTGAACTGTTCCAATCACGTAATTGAACTTGAGGTCCATTTTTGAGGCCCCGCACGACGTGTTCCATCGCTCCGGAGGTCTCCGGGTCTCCGGACTCTGAATATCCTCCCAGAGGTTGAAGAACCCTAGCTATATACCAGGACCCACAAGGGGTGGTTGATGGACCCCCTTTAACCTCTAAGGGGCTATATGGGGCTATGAATAGAAGCCCCTTAGGGGGGTCCTGGTTGACTAACTATTCCATATATAGGTACCCCGTAGTCTGTGGTTGTGCTATCTACGGTCACTGGCCACCTCGGTCTCCACGCGTTGCCGGTGTACTTCAGCTCCACCTGTCGCTCCACCAAAAGTCCATCCAGGCGCCCTGCATGGAGCGGAAACACCCGGGGGGGTGCACCCATGGGTTGCGCGCGAGGGTGCAAGGGATTGGAGGAAGGAAGGCGGGTGGATTGAAAGGTAACTAGAAATTCATGGAAACCAAGGAGTTTCACATCCAAAGTGACCTGACTCACAAGCCGCTATTCTTTGAGAGGGTGTGTCAGGTGTGTCGATCGCCAATGATTCAAGTGCAAGTGTGCTTCGGGTTCGTTGGAGAAACTTGACCCATCAAAACAAATGCAAAATGAGTTGTTCGTGAAACCGTTCTTGGGATGTAGCTGGATCCGAGAGGTAGGGCATCAAAGAAACTCCCCCAGGCTTGCACTCGCTCGGTGCCTAGCAACTCCACAGGCCGCAGATTCCAGGAAGCCAAGCATTCCAAGGCATCAACTGCCTGGAGACACAGGTCGAGCAAGTGTCTGTTTTAGTGGGTTTGACCATCTCCCCCAGTGAAAACAGTAGGGTTTGAAGTGTTTCTTCAGTGGGGATAGTCTTGGCAAGGTGCCATCAGTTCTGCCAGGAGTTGACAGACTTGGCTTGGAAAAAACTTTCGGAAGACCAATGAACCATTCTGTTTGTGTATATTCTATTTATCGGCAAACTGGCAAATATAGTATATCCTACGTATTTATATTACCATGGCTAGGGCGGCTAGGGCAGGCGAGGTGAACATGTGGAGCCTCATCTTTTCAGGAATTCAAATGACAACCTTGACATCTAATCTGAAATTTTCAAGCGAATATGGGTGATACTACTATTGGGACAAATGCTTGGCGACCATGGTCTTCTAATTTATAACATTTGAGTTTTGGGTTTGTGGGTGATTGGATCAGCGGTCGAACACCAGGCTTTTGGTGGTGTTGTGTGCTGGGACTTCCTCTTCTTCTTATTTTTATGTACAGTATTGTGTTTTTTGATTACTATTTCTATTATATATTGTTATCTCTTGTTTATGTTTTTCTTACTATTTGTTTTCTTCTTCACTTCAAATGATTTCAGGGCCTCCGAGTCATATCCACTCCATCCACCCCTTTTTCTGCGACTCCATCGACCCATCCGCCTCCACCAGCCGCTGGGACGAAAGCTCCTGACAACGTGTCACGCATCCAACGAGTGCTCCTGCCCCGCAGCGTGTAAAAGGGCAAGCTGGCAATACATGCGTTTCTTTGGCGAAGCCCGGTAAGGCAAGGACGATTCTCTGCGACGCAAGGACCCAAAAACCGTTTACTTATTTCGAACCAGTTCGATCCATATATAGCCTACTACTATAAGTACGGTTCTACGATCCGTGAACCTCGCTCCGGGGAACCGTTGTGTTCACCTCGCTGTGGTTAACCTCCGCCGTTCGGTCGACTTCGATCCCTCGGGGCACTGGCCGAGGCTCCCTCACGTTTCGGCCCGAGGGACGAAACGCGAAGGCGGCGGCCAAGGCAACGAGCCTCACCACGCCTGGAAACGAAGAGCCAGCCTCTGAGAATCCATTTATGGGGGATAGGTGACCGATTCTGAATCCATATATATATATATATTTGCGGACTTGATCCAAGAGGACCGGCTTCCATTCTTATAAGATCCCAAGGCTCCCAGATACCTTCTTATAGAAGGTGTTTAAGGGTTTGAGGCCTGCCTGAGAAGATTTTGCAGACCCACCCTCAGCAAAAGTAGGAATTTAACGCATGGCCTTCTTCCAAAATCATCAACGGTAACCAAATATCATCAATCTCGCATGTGGTGTTCCCTCACCAAGGGATATTGAACCACCAACTTGTTCCTGCCACCCTCCAGCAGCCCGCTCAAGCCGTGCGTTTTCACGTGTTCACCACACGCGCTCACGCGAACGACGCGCTCACCACACGGCGCTGCAGCTCACTCGGCACCGCGAAGGTCTCCAAGTTGCTGCTGGCACACAAATTGAGATGTGTCGATCCAGATTCTAGGGGGGGCTTACACAACCTGAACCCCAAGTGCACTCCAATGTCGAGTCTGGGATGGATTTGGAGGGTCCAAATACCATCTGAGGAGGCACTTCAGCCGCTATAAGGTGATGAAAAGTCTGGACGTAATAGTAGTAGTAGTAGTAGTAGTAGTAGTAGTAGTAGTAGTAGTAGTA